AGCTCTTTTATCTGTCCAAATGTATCTCACCAGTGTTGCGCCTCGTTCATCGAATGTAAACTGAGTTTTTTAGCTTGTTAGATCAGACACCACAGGCGCGGTCTGTAGACATCTGTACCTTGATATAGAGAAACAGAAAATTATGTTTGAGTTTTTAATTTCACTATTTGAATGTTATATCTGATTAATTAATTGGGTTTTTGGATATTTAACAGTGTATTACATCAATAAATTATATAGTTATTTAATGATACTACAAGTAGAAAGTTAATGTCAGGCTGTACACTGGCACAACCCTTACTGACTGACATAAACGCTGAGTTCAAAACCCAGCCTGGAGTCTTTTAGCATGTAGTTTTAAATATAAATAATCATTAAAAAAAAGATTAAAACATAACTGGATTTCATTCCTTGCAGTTGATATTTCACTCATCTTTTGATTTTTGCCAGAGTTGTGTTTATTCTGATCCCATGGTCACCATGTTTTTTTACTTGCTATATGAACTTTAGGGCTGACTTGGCAGAATCTTAGTTTCAGGCTAATCTATCTCTTAATAAAACTGTTTTATGATATCATGTAACAAGTAAGGCAATGTGAGAACAGTTTACACCTGATCAGATTTCACGTGGTAACGAGCTTGCACATGTAGTAATAAAGCTTTTGAACACTAGGCCCATAATTGGAAAGGACAGGAATAAAGTCCCCCTCAGTCCTGCACAAGGTTTTGCTGTTGTTTCCTTATAGCTCTTTGCCTGGTATCTACTCTTTGAGTTAGAAGCTCAGATGGCAAAGGAATTTATTTTTGTGTTATAAAGAACATCTAGGGGTCCAATAAAGTTCAGCTTTTTTGAAAAACAACCTGAGTATAAAAGCCAAGGAGTGATGCCTTTGTCCACTGATCCATACTCAATGACCAAGGTAAGTTATACTTTGAAAACTAGAGAAAATTTCATCAAAAAATGCAAAAATAAAATACAATACAATTTTATCTCTGGTTAAGGGAAAGCTGTTTTTCAGAGAAATAATTGAAGTTTGAATAATTATTGTCATGCAATATTTTTTTATTTCTGGCTATATTTTTTAGTTCTTGTGTTTATCTTTTTTATCAGATGGTGCTTTTGCTCCTGCTGGTGACATCATGTGCAGCGATTACTCAAAGTAAATAATACATATTTTTTGAATTGTCTAAAAAAGGATTAAATTGCTTGCTACAAAAAAGGGTTGTTTTCCTGTTCGATGTTTATCATGACATGTTATTTTCCTCTCCTTTAAAATTATAACTGAAAGGTTTAAGCAGTGACGGCTTGCAATTAGAGGGCGCTAGGGAATCTGCCCCACCCACCCAATGACCTAACCTGACTCCGCCAGATGGATTTGCTCCGCATTTCCATCTGGAAACCTTCCGTTGAATAAATTTTGGGAAGGGGCGAAAATACTGGTTAGCTGATTGGCCTATGTTGGTGATAGATGGGCCAAATAAACCAATCAGATCAACAAAGCATATGACGTACTAACAGAGCGACGACGAAAACACAACCACAAGCCAGGCTACTCTTGCCGAAACCAGTCGGGAGAAGAGCAAAAACATCTTTTCCTCTGAGAAAAGCCTCAAGAGCTGTGTTTTGCTCTTCTTTCAGTGAAGAAATACTCTGTAATTCCGATAAAACTTGCTTGATAGCCACGCTAGCGCTAGTTTCATCGGCTGAAGCCGCCATGTTCTTTAGACTGAATGGTCGCGCTTCTCGTTGCGTCACACCTCAACCCGCCTCAAAGCCAACACTGATTGGACGTTCGTTTGGTGAACGTCTCCAAATATTCTTTAACGGAGAGTCTCCAGACTGATTTGCGAGTGAAACCTTGAAAGCTCGCAAGATCAGGATGAGGCTACCAATGACCCTGATGAAGACATAAAAAAAAATAAATACATTTTTTTTATATAATTTCATTTTAAATGAAAATTTAAAATATTTAGAAATATATCAAATTATATTTGATGGATGTACAAAATAAATATTTAATCGACTAGTAAAGCATATTTTTATTTTTCGTCAGATTGGTGAGGTATTTCCGCCCTGGTGAGCAAAAATCTCTGCCCATTGACTCTCATTAAAAGTTGTACATGCACAGTACCTCCTCTGCAATACAAAGGTATAGGAGAGATTGGGGCACAGGAGAGCTGCGCCCTGAGGTGACAGGAAGTGTATTTGCTCACGTTTTGTGGGTGATTGACAGGTCAAGTTGCGGGAGTAAGAGACACATTGGAGAGAGAGGGAGAGAGAGAGAAATTGTGCAAGAAACATTATTTCCAAGGACCTGGTTTAGCTACAAGTCTTGGCTAAGTGCATGGAGCGAGGCTAACACTTTATTCTGCTTTCCTGTATCCTTTTTAAAACGTCAGGATCTGACCCAGCATGGAAAAAGACATAGCTGTATATTGGTTATTTATTCTCCAGGTGAAGAGTTTTATATTGTTAAAACACTTTACAGTACAATGTTTTATTGTTTATATTTTATCTCTTCCCTATTGTGTTATTCTAATACATTTTTCTAAGGTCCACATTTGTATGATCATTTTAAATAATCTTTCTGCTGCTGGAAATTTGTCCATTGTGGGACCATAAAGAGATTTTACTGTATATTCAATTCTATTCTATAAAAGGGTTAGAAAGATATAAGTAAATCTAAACAATTTATGTATCAAAAATATATCTGCAAAATATCTTATATTCAACAACAAAAAATACTTATTTATAGGTGCTGTAGGAAATCTTTGAAAAACGGTTCAAGTAAGCTATAGTTTTGAACATACACAACCCCGCCTACCCTTCAGACCACCCCTCAAATTCACGCCTTCAAACACAGTTCCGTCAAATAAATGATCTGTCATGACGAGTCTAATATTTTTTGCCCACATGCAGAAAAACTCACAGAGAGATAGTAAAAGTTAGAAATTTTATTTTCAGTTAAGCAAAAAACAGGAACCGGGTTAACTCGGCTTGGAGGGACCTGTGGCCAGGAATCCAGGTGTGACTGCACATAAGGAGAGAGAGGCCGTTTCTCAATATGCATTCTTGAGCGTTCTCATGTGCTCCTGTACTTGTGAAGTGCATCAGCCTCAGCCCAAGCACTGTTCCAATTGCCGAGAATGCCAGACAGAGAACGCCCCAAATCCCTGGATGTTGTTCTCGCCCCGCCCTCTTTATCGAGTATGCATCAGAGCAGACTTGTCCGTTCTTCAGCTTGACAGCTGTCCCAGAATGCACTGCGGCAGCAGCAGCTTTCAATGGAGGGATCCATTGAAAGTTAAAAGTTCTCTTTTCTGTTGCTGTTGTTCAATAAAAGTACAGTTTAAGATCATTTAAGGTGAGAATATTATACTTCAAAGCATCACTATATGGTCCATTTACCGATTTAATGCATAATAAAAAAAAAAGATTTCCGAAGTTGAGATGACTGCGGCAACCAGCGGACCTCCGAAGCTACTGTACCCTCTCTCGGCATAACCCTGTGTGAAGGACCACTGGCTCTGATGGCAATTTTTTTTGTTTTATTTGGCAACATTTTCATTTGATTTGTGTTTATCTGACTGTGTCCATCATCATTCCCCCACTAAATGAAAAAAGTAATAATTTATTATTATCTAGAGACTATTAATATCAGGAGGTGAAATGCAGCTATAAAAGAGCCGTGAAGTCATTAGTACGCTTTTCTGTTCCAATTGATCCATATCTATGCTGCGTCTTCGCATTAATACCAAATCCATACCTTCCTGTGTTCTTGCCAAGACTAGACTAGATGAGAACGCGAGTCCATGCTCGCATTCTTGTTAATTGAGAAACGGCCAGAGAAAAGGTGAGTTCACAGTTGGTGGGGAAAGATGCGGGAGACTGATGCTCTGTTCTTACTTGAACTAGCTGCCTGAATTGGAGGGTTGTAAGAGGTTCCAGTTTGTGGGGGCCTTGGCTGGTTGAAGGTGGACAAGTCGTTAGAGGGTGGTCAGGTAAGTTTATGGTAGCACAGAGGGGCAGCAGAGCAGACTGTCATCTGGAGACTTTGATGAGGTCAGAGCTCAGAAGAGGGGAGTTGTGGAACTCTCGGTCTCTATAGAGGTTTTCTTCCAGGGCTGGAAGGACTTGAAAGATCCCAGAGGATCTGAAGGTTTCCTGCCAAAGATTCACAAGAAACAAAATAGGTAATATAATGAATTCACTGGTAAAGTTCAGAAATAAACTAAGCAAAAGCTCAGAGGGGCTAGAGTACACAAAACAGGCAAACACTCTGGCGAAGAGGTGATGACAGTCAGCTGCTCATATACTCCTCTGAGGTGATGATGATTCCTTGCAGGTGGGCAAATCCTCCAAGATAGAGTAACCACATGGCGCCCGCTGGTGGATAAATGGTGGAACTGGAAAGGAAAACAAATTAACCCCACAAAACAAATTAACCCCCCATCCCCATCATTCCCCACCCCCCCAACCAACCTCCACCGGTGCCGGTCCAGAACAGCCTGAGGGCTGAGGGAACGGAAATCAGTGATAAGGGAGGGGTCCAAAATAAATGTACCAGGCACCCATGAGCGGTCCAACAGGTATTGCCAACCCTGTGACAGAGATGTCCTTTTCGTCAGCTGGGAACAGTGGAGGTTGATAGCCTAGCAACCTCAAAAGGGGACAGACCAGTGGCATATGAAATGTGAGAGTTGTGTGCATACTCTACCCAGGGTAGGTAAATGCTCCAGTTGGATGGGTTGGTCGTGGTCAGACATCTGAGAGTGGCCTCGAACTCCTGGTTCATGTATTGAACTTTGCTATTAGACTGTGGGTGATAGCCAGAGGTGAGTGAAACCTTGGCCTCAAAAGCCAAACAAAAATTTCGAGAGGATGTCCTGAGGATTTCCATGTAACCGAAACACACGTTTAACCAGGAGTTGAGCAGTCTGAAAAGCTGAAGGAAGTTTTCTCAAAGCAATCAGGTGGCAGGCTTAAAAAAAAGATCAATAATGGTCAGAATAGTGGTCATACCTTTGGAGACACGGAGTCCAGTGATGAAATCGATTGAAAGGGCCGTTTAGGAAAGGAATTCATATTAGCTGTAAATTTGCCATTATCCTCAGTTTCCTGCAACATTCTGTGGAACGTTGGTGCCAGAATATTCCAGAGCTCTTTATAAAACTTAGTAGGTAAACCACCTGGATCTGGAGCCCTTTTATTGGGCATGCTTTTTAAAGCTTCCTGAACTTCAACTGTTGTCAGTGGTGAGTCCAAGGTCAATCTTTCACTATCTGATAATGTAAGAAGGATTATTTTATCCAGAAATTGCTTGATGTCATTGTCTGATTGATTTATCTGCATAAAGATTTATAGAAATCTCGGATATTGTTGTTAAAGCTGAAGTCTGTAAGTTTTTAAAAATCACTTTTTTGTCATATTGGCTAAAACTGTCCCTATGCCCAGACAGCAGTACATGTGATATGTAACCTGTGAAAAAAATGCTTCAATTGGTCCCGCATACTGCCTGTAATTCAATCTGGAACGAATAATTCGGGACGAGTCAAAACAACCAATCACAGCCAGAGGAGCGTCTGATGGAGTGTCAATCACAGCTCACACACGCTGAGTCCCGCACCCCCCCTCACCGCTTAACCTGCCGCTGCCGCCCGGCTGCCGCAGTCAGGAGGACGCGCGTGGAAGTCATGGCGGAGCGACAGCCACCAGCGAAAGAGAAACTGCCCTTACTGCCCCTGCCGACAACTGCTTACACGACAAACTTCGGTATAACCAGCATCTTATATCTAGCTGCTTGGAGGTGAGTGTTATCGCTCTTACCGGTTCACACTCCATGCCGCGTACGCTGCTTGGACGCTTCTGGTCGCATGCGGTAGCCGCGCAGATGCTGTGAGAGGGGTGGAGCTTGGAGGTGGGGCATGAGTGAAGCAGAGAGGGTGGGGGAGTGGCGTGAAACCTGTTTTTCTTCAAATTTTCAGTCGAAGTCTGCTCTCTCCTCAATGTTACAGACTGCAGCTTCAATACATTCTGGATCATACCATTTTTTTAATTTTTGGCTTGTGCTTACCTGAGTGGATTTGACTTGAACTACACGTATGCTGCCATTTTACTTACGCACAGCTTTCGCAAGATCTCAGCCGCTCATTCCACCTCCCATTTGAGTGCCTCCTCCTTCTTTATAAATTCATTTTCTTTTTAATTAGTTTTTTTTATGTCTTAATAAAGGTCATTGGGTGGGTCGGGCAGCGCCCTGTATTGGCCAGCCACCACTGCTTAAATGTTGTTGTTGTTTTTTTTTAATTTATAGCAAAAGCTTAGAAAAAATTTACTTTCATCAAATAATTTCAGCCAAGAATTCATCTTTATTTTTATTGATTTATATGTTTATTCCCATCAATATATGCTAATTTGCAACTCCTTTTTTAAGATCTTTCAGGAAAAATGTTTACCTTCCCACAACAAACAAGCACAACAGAGGCGAGGTTTACAACACAAAGACAAGATATGAGGGCTGTCACCGTCTGTTTTAGGTAGGAATAGTTTTTTTCAATTTACAAGATAAACAGCCTAGGTATTGTTTTTTACACCCATGAAAAAACTATGTCTCTACTATGCTTACAGGTCCTTTACAGACCTTAAAAGAGAGCACTCCTTATTTTCTTTGGCTTTACCCACGGGAGCTAATGGCTTTCTGATAATAAAAAGTGCCCAAAGTGATGCGTTTGACATCTGGGTCCTGGAACAACATGTAAAGATTGAAGCACAGGACTTCAAGCTTAACATGTGGCAATCCATATGTGCAACATGGGATGCTTCATCTGGACTCATACAGTTGTGGTTAAATGGAAAGCCCTCAAGCAAGAAATATACCAGCTCTGGACACAGTATCAATGGACCAATGATCATTGTTTTAGGGCAGGTAAACTTTCAAGTAGTACACACTCTGGATTCTGTTTATTTTAGATTGTTATGCTGGATTCCACTGATTCTAAAATCTGGCCAGTGTTAGCAACATGTCTGCTTTAATAATCCTGAATCTTGTTAAAAATTTTAAATGAAAATGTCAATTTCTATTTTCGGATTTACTACCTATTTAATATTATTTACATAAGTGCAACATAAGTGCAATATCGGGATTTTTGTTATTTGACGACCATAGTAGAGTCTAGGTGTCAAATTACCATATACTTCTAAAGATGAGAATTATTTTGATCTTTTCAAAGTCTTAATTTTATATCACTGCATTTCTTACAGGATCAGGATTCATATGGTGGTGGTTTTGACACCAAGCAATCATTTGTTGGGATGATGGAAGATGTTCATATGTGGGACTACACCCTCTCCCCATGTGAGATCCAGGGCTATATGGATGAACATTACTATCCTGAGGGGAATGTCTTGAACTGGAATTCCGTAGAATTCCAGAGTGTGGGAAGAGTGCTAATAGAAGATAAACTAAGAGCTTGCAATTAGAGTTCCTGGATTTTTTTTTTCAGAATAAAAGAATTGTTGTGAATAAGGCATAAAGTTAATTAGGACTTTTAAAAACCAAGTCTTTTTCATTGTAAAATCAAATGTGTTTTTGTGTTTCAGTCATATGACTTCGGATTCACTTATCTTTTTGTTATAAACAATGATATTTTTACTATATGTATAAATAATTTCAATGGTGTCAATACTCATTAGTGTTCATTAGTGCAGGATTGTCGTGGGTTCTTCCTAACAGCCTCTGTGTTAGACTTTGATACGGTCAACTTGACTCCAAAATCATGAGAAAAAAAATCACCCTTGGTCGTGCTACATCACACAAGAGGCTAATGTAAGGATATACCGGTATATGTCAAATTAGAAAAAGTTGAACAATAAATGTACATTAGAATAATAAAAAAAATATCCTTGCAAATTAAAAAAACAAGACCTCTTCCATTTTCTCTTTTCTTTTTATAAGGATGGAAGTCTGCCCTTAATGTTGCTTAAATCTGATGTAGATATCACTCCTTTCACTTAAGAAAATCATTAACTCTTCCTCTTTATTAAGCAAATTTAAAACCAGACCCACCACTTCTGCTTAAAGGGTATCCTAATTGGTATCCTAAAAGTTTTCACTCCCCACTCTGGTCCAGTAATACCAACAATGAATCTGCTCTAAAAAAAAAAAAAAAACACTTTATTGTTACCACAAGAGTCAAAATTGACTTTTACACTTATATCTAATCAGGTAGAGACAATTACTGATGCTCTTACTATGGTACAGGGAAAGTAGATTCCAAGTCCAAGAAGAGCCCTGATCTCCTACCTCACCAACACTTATATTTTAGTCTACTTTCCTGCTAACGAGCGAAACAGCCTCTTAAGTATTAGTAATTCAAGATGTGTCACCTCACAGATGTAACTGTTTTCAGGCAGTCGTTTACCATTCAAGTGTGTGCGTATATACTGAAGATGTGCTTTCAAGCTCCCCAGAGAATGAGTGTGTATTATCTCCCCTACTGTTTTGGTTAATTAAAGACACAACAGAGACTTGTACCAGTAGAATAGCTCACCAAAGTCAAACAATCTTAATTTCTCACCCAGCCTTGAACAGCACTGCAGTATGGCGAAATTCCTGTTCTCGTACAGCCCATCCGGGAAAGGCAAAATACATGGTGGGACGTGATGTCCGAAGCCTTGTTGCTGTCAAATGCTCTGCCCTTTCAGTTGAGGGAAGCAACAAAAGGATCCACATGGGTAAGAGGAGGTTAAAAATAAATTATAGGATACAGGATATAGTCTGAGATTACAAAAAAACTCAGCACAATAAGCAACACAGATACAATACAACATCTTGTAGGGGGGAACAGGAAAGAGGCTGTAAAAGAGGGGGCAATGTTCATCAACTGGCCAAACAAGGAGTAGGCTCACTGATTTCATCAGAGAAGGGAGGGGGCAGAGGGAGCCGAGCGTGATGTTTAGATAGTATCCAGAGCAGTTACGGCCTGAAGGCTGCACACGGCAAGCCTGATTTCAGATAGAAACAGATTGTTCGGGTCAGGCTGACAGTGGATTTTTTCCTGAGAGTTTTTGTTGCTTTCTCAAAATGGCAATTACAAATAGATATATTCTTGGTCCTTTTTGTCAGATCTGAGCTTAAAATCTTCTCATAGACTAGATAATTTGGAGAACACAAAGCAGATTGTCAACTTCAGGAAGAACTGGCCCAAGCATGCTCCACTGCTCAACAGCTCAGCTCCAGAGGTGGTCAGAAGCACCAAATTTCTTCGGGTGCATATCACAGACAACCTCCCCTGGACTCTAAACACCACCTCACTGGTCAAAAGGGCACAGAAGCGCTTGTACTTCTGTGGAGGATGAGGAGAGCCCGCCTGCCCCCACGTATCCTCACAACCTTCTACAGAAGCAATGTAGAGAACATTCTCACCAGCTTTCTCACTGTGTGGTGTGGAGGCTGCAGCTTCTCAGACTGGAAGAATGTGAGAACAGTGATGAGAACAGCAGAGAGGATCATTGGGGCTTCTCTTCCTTCCATTAAAGACATTTCATTGCAGTGCTGTGTGTCCCTAACCCGTAAGTTCATCAGTGACCTTTCACACCGCCACCATGGAGTGTTCTGCCTTCTGGTAAGAGGCTTCACAGCATCCGCTGCAGGTCCAGCAGCATCTGCAACAGCTTTTTCCCTACTGCCATCAGACTGCTGAACTGTTAAAAAAAAAACTAAATCATGTCACAGACTCTGCATCACACTGATAACACCAAACCGAAATACTGCATATTTGCACCGTATATTTTTGCCTTGAAATGCTCTGAATTTCCATATCATTGCGTTTTGCACCATGTATTTTCTGCCACACTGTTTAAATTTGATCACTGCTGAAAAACCCTTTCCCCTCTCTCTTAGTTAATGTGTGCAAAACATGCTCCGTTTCAAAAGCCCGCCCTCTAGCAGGTGTTAGCTCTCTGCTTAACGACACTGAGCATCCAAACAGTTAGGGCTTTAGCTAGTAGTAAACACTGCAATTGCACTCTTAAATGGTGCATCAAAAAGACAGTTAATTTATCCTGCCTTCTTCTGAGTCTCTGAAGACTCACTGGACAGACTTTATTCTTGATGGAAATCTACCTGCAAAAATTCCCAAGGCTTTGCATCTCTGTGCTGAGCATTTCAAAGAGGATTGCCTTTACGACATGGGTGGAAACAAAGCAGGTTTGAACACACACCTTAAATTGAAGAGTTGATTGATACAAACTATACATTAGAAGCTGTAAAGGAAAAAGCTTGAAGTGACTTCCCTGTTGGTATGTTAGTAGCTTAGGCAACCGTAAATATGAGTTGTTGGTATACTTGTTGCTTTGCATATTGAAAGGTTGTCTTGGTTTTCCATATTTCCCTTGAAAAACATGATCATTCTACATTTTGAAGAGATGTTCTTTGCTCTGTATTGAGATAATTAAATATTTAGTTTATAAATAATTATTTAGAAAACTAAATATTTAGTTTGGGGCCAAATATTTATTTTACAAACTAAATATTTAATTTGCAAACTATATATTTAGTTTGAAGCTAAATATTTATTTAAAAAATTAAATATTTTGTTTGGAGCAAAAAATTCATTTAATAAACTAAATATTTATGTTGCAAACTAAATATTTTGTTTGGAGCTAAATATTTATTTAACAAACTTCATATTTAATTTGCAAACTAAATATTTATTTAACAAAGTAAGAATTTTATAAATGAATGAATGACATAGTAAAAAACTTGACTTGGAAAAAAAATAACCCCCTTACTTTTTCTCCTAAATCACGCTAAATAACCATAAAGATTGCTCCCAATTTTTGACTGCTTAACTTTACAAATGGCGCCCCATACATATGGTCGTAATTGACTATTTAAGGATTTTTCCTTACCGCAGAAATGGCAAAAAACATGCTCTGGGGGCTTCATTTTTAGCATCTTAACATCCCCCTCATTTTAAAGTAATCCTATTTTTGCATTCCCAAATGGAAAAGCAAATAACTAAGGCACTGTAAGCCCAAATTACATGTGTCATACAGTGGCGGCCGGCCCATGGGCTGGGGCACCGCCCTCCCTGATAAGAAGAGAGAAACGTAAAATATATTTTTAGAAATTAACTCATAAATGTCAGTTTTACTCTCTAGACTGTGTACCTATAAGCAAAACAAATTATATAAACTACATTTCCCTATCTACTGTCATTAATTTGTGGATTTCCACAGACAGACTCCTACCGTCTCTGTTCTGGGGGCGCTGATCAGACTGACCCACATTTGCAGAGAATCTGTCAATCATGTACTATTGCTAGGTGAATTTAATGGCCAATCAGCGTCTCGGAACTTTATGGTATTGGGGCGCTGAAAATACTGCGCTTTAACAGGCTTCTGAACCCAAGCGCAGGTGCAGACAGTTAGAGGGAAGATGGCGAATGTAACGACCGAGATGCAGCTTCCACCAAATTCGGTGAGATCCTTATTTATCTACCCGTTTGCCAGAAGAATATCCCTGTTGTAGGATATGAACATTTCATGTCATGGTTATTGTGACTGTGACGAATCCACCTCGTCGCTTAAAACAACCTCTCTAACTTTGCGCACCACACACACATTCCTGTTATACTGTGTTTGTGAGGACCAATACACTCGCGCTGAGACCAGTAGCTCCATGAACTTAAAACACACAAGCTGTTCCTGGTTACCTGCTGGCGTATTGAGGGTGCACACTTAATATTTCAGTGGGGTTAGCCGTGTGTGTGTGTGTGTGTGTGGGTGTGGGTGTGTGTGTGTGTGTGTGTGTGGGGGGGGGGGGGGGGGGTGTACGTGTTTATGCTATGGGGGACTTGTCATCTTCAGTCTGGCTGCGTCTTTGCTGGGTTCAAACCCCGTTTGGTGTAATTGAATAAGTCAATGAATCTGTGTAAAAGAATTAAGTTGTAAAAATTATTTGTTTTGTTTTACATCAATTGTTTGTGGAGGTAATATATGGACAAAACTGATTAATGAGAAGAAATCAGAAATAAGAGAGCCTGATGTGAGGGGCTTAAACTATTTAATGAGGGCTGCGGGAAGAAAAGCGGCAATTTTTGTTTTCTGTTTCTTTGTTACATTGCTGGTAACTGGAGGGAGGCTGAGGCCCAGAGTATCTTGTATGTTTAGTTTCTTTTGCACCCTGTTTTGAGTTTTTGAGCTCAATAAATCACCAACACCGGTAACCCGACTGAGACTGGATTCTTGGAGGCCAAAGAACCCCGTCACAGTGACCCAAATCATCACTGTTACTGTTATTATATAGTAAATTAAATCATTACTGTTAAATTGTATGTATTGTCCAATTGTTTATTTGAATTCTTATTCCGGATTAGTTGGAGACATACACTAGGCCAGGGGTCGGCAACCTTTTCTACTCAAAGAGCCATTTGGGACCGCCTCCCAATAAAAAGAAAGCACTTGGAGCCACAACCCATTTTGACGTCATATATATAAAACCTATATGCTATGTACAAAAATCGATACTATGTTGCGTTTATGAAATCAACGAACTGCTGCAGAGAACACAAAATTTTATTTCTGCATGTAACAAAACGCATTTTACACTTTGCTCAATTGCAAACAAAATACCCTATTTGGGTCTTTGTATTTAAGAAATAAAAACCGAAACTTACCCAACCCGCACTGAAGGAAAAATAGAAACAGAATGCAGTCACCTGTCCTCCTCTTATTCAGGAGATAAAAAATCAAAACTTATTCAAATATTATCCACCGGCACTGAACGAACCATGCAAACCGAAAAATGTGCAGTCTGCTTCTGTGTCCCATCGCGTGTGTGCGGTCACCTGTCCTCCTGAATAAAAAAAAAAAAAAAAGACTATTTCACTTAACAATATATAGGTATGTATTTATATTTGACTGTTATATTCCAGACAACCACGCACACACATGTAAAACAATAGCTAATTAAAATATTTATTTTACCTGGTTAATGTGATTTTTGCTCCTGAACCTCTTCATGTCAGGGCTGTAAGATGTCACCTTCATCTTCAAACAGGAGCGTAAGCTGACGTCTGTGAGGCGTGAGCGGTGCTTGTTTTTAATAAAGTTCATGTTGGAGAAGACCTGCTCACAGATGTATGTGGATCCGAAGATTGCAAGGACTCCAAATGCATACCTCTTCATGTTGATGTAGCTGTCGGGGATGGCATTCCATGTTGTGAATACAAGTTTGTTCTGTTTGGGAAGGTTGGCAACTTCGCTCCATTTGTGATTCTGAGCGAGAACGGCCTTCTGATGGCACACATTTTCAAGATCAGCTGTCAAACTCTTGAACTTTGACACCCAGATGTCTTTGTCGGCGATGTCGGCCAGTTCCATCTCTAGATCAGGTTGACTTACACCTGGAAATGCAGTCATATTCAACAGGGATGGATCGATGCTTAGAGGAGTGACAGGGAAAGATAGAGTGTTTTTTTCCTCTCTGAACTCACAGAATCGTTTCCCAAATGACGCTTGCATTGCAGTGATTGCAGATTGCAAATACTGCGTATTTATCACATTCCCACCTTGTTGGTATTCTCTCAAAGAGGGGAAGTGATGCAGTGCGAGTCGCTCTAAATCCTTGGCCAACACTGTTAGCTTGCGCTCGAATCCCAGCACCTCTTCCAGCAGGTGCAGAGCTGTGCCTCCTTTCCCCTGAAGAGATGTGTTCAATGTGTTCAGGTGCGCTGTCATATCGACCATAAAGTGTAGCTTTTCCAGCCACTCTGGCTGTTCCAGCTCAGGAAAGGTGAGCCCTTTGCTGCTGAGGAAAGTTTTCACCTCTTCAAGACACGCTGCAAAGCGTTTCAGCACTTCTCCTCTGGACAGCCACCGGACTTTGTTATGCAGCAGGAGATCAGAGTACTTGGTGTCCATCTCATCTAGTAATGAGCGAAACTGACGGTGATTTAAACCTTTTGCCATTATTTTGTTGACAATCTGAATGACAACATCCATTACTTCTGTGCATTCCGGAGGAAATGTTTGCGCACACAGTGCTTCCTGATGCAAGATACAATGGAAAGTCAGCAATTTTCTATCCAATGACTTCTGGAGTAAAGTTACAAAGCCCTTCTGCGCTCCTGTCATGCACGGTGCCCCATCAGTAGCTACTGACACCAGGTGGGTGGTCTTTATTTCTTTATTTCTCAAACAGTCCAATACAGCCTCACATATATCCTCCCCCCGTGTTTGGCCTTTTAGCGGTATTAAATCAATCATTTCTTCCTGTGGCCCAGTAGCGCTCACGTATCGGCAGAACAACGCTATTTGTTCAATGTCATTTTTGTCTTTTGACGCATCACAGGCGATTGCGTAGGCCAAAGCTGAATTGATATCTTCAATCTGCTGTCTGGTTATGTTTTCTGCCATCTTCACAGTTCTGTCTTGGACAGTTTTGGCAGAGAGAGGCATGTCTTTTATTTTCTGCAAAATTTCATCTTTGTTTCTGAAGTCCGAGAAAAGATGTTCTGAAATCTTAACAAATGTTTCTTTGAGATAATCTCCATCTGTAAATGGTTTACCATGCTTGATTATTTCCTGAGTAGCCACGAAACTGGCACATGTAGTGGAATTTGCGGTCTTAATCCACTTCTTGAAGTGACTCCTGCTCGCTTCAGCCTTCCGCATCAGCTCCGAAACAGCCTTTTTTCTCTCCTCTCCCTCGGGATATCTTTTAGCAAAGACAGAGTGTTTGTTCTCGAAATGTCTTTCAACATTTGACTTCTTGTTGTTTGCCAGTCTTTCGCCACATATTAAGCAGACTGGTGAACCAGTTTCATCAGCGGTGAAAGCAAAATGATCTGTCCACGTAGCATTAAATGTTCTGCCATCTTCAGGATGTTTCCTTTTCTTAGATTTATTCATAATGTTTCTTCCAGGCGAGGGTCAAAAAGTCAATAAATCAGTGAGCTAAAAAATGTGGTCTGTCAGACATGTGGGGTATGCTAGGAATGCCTGTCGCACATCGGCGGACATGACGTATATTTTGGGTGCTAAAAATGTTCAAAACTTTTTGTTTTAATGTTACAAGTTTACCATAATTTTCAGATTTAGACATTTATTTTAAAATTATTTTAATTTATAATTTTTTAATGATTTAATTTTAATAAAATATTCTATTTCCCAAAGTCACTGGGAGCCACAACAGAAGGATGAAAGAGCCACACGTGGCTCCGGAGCCATTGGTTGCCGACCCCTGCACTAGGCTATATCAGCCCCACCAAAAATATTTTTCACCAGCCGCCACTGGTGTCATACATTATTTGAAAGCTTGCACCTTATATTTTCTGAATATATACATTAGGTGAGTAAAACACAGCCAAAGCTGCATGAGTTAAAAAAGGACTCGAAATACCTTGTTTTATTCTCGAAAATAATATCTCTTTTTTTAAATAGCAATATTAAAGACATGCTTGAGACCTCTAGCTACAACACTTCCAGAGCTGTGTGGCTTTGAACTTTTGGTGTCACCAGGGTCTCCAAATCTCTCCAAACTTGCTATATTATGTAAAATTGTGCCAAATGCTTTCACTCAGCTATTGGACCCACAGAATAACACTGAAGCATTTTGAAGGCCACAAAACATTTATGAAGCAAGTATTTTTCTTTTTTCAGAATCAGTGTATATGACAAAATGTAACATTTATAAATCTACAATAAGATAAAAAGGACTCTATGAGGCATAATATTGTGCTACTCGGTGCATCATTGGTTGACAGGCAAGGAGTGCTTGTGAGACTTAAGTGACTGTCCCTGACCGAAATTGCGTCATACAAAAATGTGGACACGTTTGTCTTGTAGGTAAGAAAATTATGTAAAGAAGCATACCAAACATTGCAGGCAAACAACAGAGGAAATAAGTATTAGGAAGTAAATATTATCAAGATGCTAAGCATTAGCTATGACCAGCTTATTTTTCTGATGTCAACAACGAGACGTTATGGCTGATTTTCTCATCAGGGAATGTTTTTATTACGAATATGCTGGATTACTTTTAATCTGTGGACCCTTATGGACGAATGGAATATAAGCAATTAAAGATTGGATTTTCTAAAACGGCTTCTGGACGGCTTCAAAGTTATGTTGTTGTGGCTGCTTGTCATGTTTACATTTTGACATGCTGCAGTATCTGTGTTAAATGTGCCTTGGTTCTCGCTGTGTCCATAAAATGAACTTGATGGTTGAATTGTAGAGAATCTAAGCTTTCCAATGATGTCTAGCATGGTAAGAAAAAAAAAATTACCGTTGTAATTTTCATGCATTCTGAGTTATTAGCTGTAAACTCTATTAAATGGGTCGCCAGCTTTAGTATAATTTATTTTCAAATGTAGAATAACACTGGTATTTAAAGAAAAAACAAAATATACAGGAGTGGGGCTCGGATGGGATTCTGTTGTTCAGGACAACATCTCTTTGGTAGAAACTCTTTGAAGGTGAAACAACCTCTTTCTCATAACATGACTTGCTAAAATAGATTTTAGATAAATAACAACACATTGCGGATAGCTTGTAGTTTCCATGAGCAGTCATTGTCTTGCTAAGAAACAGCAGTATAATCAAGCTAAGGTAGGAAAATTCAGATTCACTTATTTGCATTTCCTGAGGAAAATTTGTTACAGGTAAAGTGAAAAACACTGTTGGAGATTTATATATAATAATAGTACAGTACAATGCAAGTCATTCAATGAAATCTGCTAATATCTTTAGAATTTTTTAACATCATTACACAATTCAGAGGTTATCCTCCATTTCTGATACTACTTTAAAAAACTGTTGTTATGCAAATTTTGTTTTTAAAATTCATTGGCAAACAGAGGGCAAGTGAAGTCTAAACAATTGGCATTCATTATTTGCTTGTTTCTGCAAAAAAAATGTACATAGCAATTTTGTTTGCCAAAGTAAAAAAGGAATATAAATTAATAGCTATTTAATTGTCTACAATTTCAGCAATTAACACAATTCTCAGAGAATTTAGACCAAACATTGTGTTTCATTAGTTATGTTTTCTGAGAAAGGTAAAGCCTGCTTTCAACATTTGTACTTTGGGATTAAAAAATGAGTGAAGTGCTGTATCTTATTACCACATTTTTACAGATTTCCTGGATAAGCAAGAATTGTTTCAACATCAGCATGGTAAGCCCATAAGCTGTTTCTAATAAACATGGGTCGAAGAGCATTGCCTTGGACAAAAGAAGAACTGGTTTAAGGAAGTTCAGACTGAAACACTTGGGTGGGGAGTAGAAACACTAACTCTGTTCCTTAGTCGCTTGGTTACACACAAAATCTTCACACAGATTTCAAGGTAAGATCTTACATTCATCAACGCATTCACTCCTGTTGGTCATTACAGAAATCCAAGAAAACTTGAACTTATAGGTTTACCCTACAACTAAAACTTCTCTTTACTATATATTTTATTTTTTATTAGATGAAAGCACTGCTTCTACTTGTGATGATGACAACTTGTGCTGCCATAACACAAGGTATCTATTCAATTACTCCATGCAAATGTTAAGCTTAATCTACAGTAATTCTAACAAAAAGGGAATTTAATTATGTTATATTTAAGAATGAAGAAAATGCTACTTTTGCTCCAAGCTGTCCTTCGTATTATTTCTTCATGCATAAGACTGCGTAATGCATACAGGAAGACAGTATCTGTCCTATGCATTACATGTAAAATTTGCTTTGAAATTTTAATAGTTTTAATTTTGGATAGCCAGCGGACGGACGGACGGACGGACGGACGGATTGATGGATGGATGGTGTAGTGACATGAAACATTTTAACAGTTCTTCCAGTTTCTCGTTACTTATAAGAAATATATGTTAAATGTTTACAGATCTTTCTGGGAAGATGTTTACCTTCCCACTTGAAAGCAACAGAGCTCGTGTGATGTTTAATACAACAAAAACAGATTTTAATGCCGTAACTGTTTGCCACAGGTACTGTGATTTTTAATAAACTACAAAAACAATCTTTCATGTGTATTTGTAAGATTTGCTGGACAATGCATAGTATTTTTGTCATTGTAACAGATCCTTTACGGACCTCAAAAGAGACCACATCCTATTCTCTTTAGCCACACCCACTCATTCCAATGACTTCCTGATTTTCTGGGATAACACCAATAAAGAAATGGAGACACACATCAAGAACAAAAAAGCAGAATTCGGAGGGCGTGACTACAAGCCAAACATGTGGCACTCTGTCTGCACCACATGGGAAGCTTCATCTGGCCTGGTGCAGCTATGGTTTGATGGACAGCCCTCTGTTAGGAAATTTACAAGCTCGGGATTTAACATCAGGGGACCTGTCATAATTATGATAGGCCAGGTGAAGTTTTTTTTCTCTTTTTATTAACAATGAAAAAAATTACTTCCCAATACCACCAAGATGATCAAGTTCACTTTCACACTCTGAAGTAGGGTCATTTAATTGTAGCGCCTCCACACAATGCATGTACAGAGGCCAGAGGCCTTATTAAACTTTTCCCATGTTGAAAAACATACTTTAAAAGAAAAAAGAGCCAAAACCAGACTTAATACCACCCTCACAAGCATACATAAAAAAGGCAGATTGTTTGCAAACCCCATTTTTTTCTGTCATTGAGATAGGTAGGTATGTATGGGGCTGTTGTTTTTAGTGCACTCATTCTCTAAGGATTTTTCCAGAGCTTTTACATGTTGTTAAAACAAATAAGAAAACATAACATCACACAATTACTCCACTGCTAATTTAATACAAGGAAATTTTCCTTGTATTGTCATTGCAACATTTTCTGTGTTGTTTCCTTAGGAAACATTTACATCATATTAAAATAGAAGAACTGGGAGTGTTCTATCTACTGAGCAGTAATCTGTCTACCTTTTCATCTGGGCCTTTATCCAAAAATAAGCAGTATGTAATTAAATATTTGCTTTGGATATAATTTAGAGATTTATTTTGGTAGAAATTAAAGAAGGTTTTGTATCACCTCTTATGAGCTTGAAGACATAAAATCTTGATAGTTAGACAAAAGGATTTTTACGCTTGGCAGAGGATGATCACCCACATATAGTTTAGTGTTGGACTAGTTGTTCGAGCAGTGTGCTTGTGCTCTGCAGAGATTGCAAGTACCCATTGTGATCCCCACAGCCTGCACTCTGGGTTCTTGGGCAAAACCCTTAACTAAATAATTTAGTCATAGTTGATGAAAATAACACTGTTGGGCTGAAGTTTCTTAACCGATTCAGTCCCATTTAGATTAAGAGAGGTGTTTGTTGTTTTTTTTTTGCCTTTCAGATTGACGTTTGTGTGCACACTCAGACTTGGATCTTTGGAGTAAAATCCTCCTCTTTCCACATGTGTGCAGCATCAGCGTGACGTTTCTCACTCTTTACTATCCTTCATCTACTGGGTGCTTGTTGTCAGTGGAGTAGGTGACTTTAAATTTAATGTGTGGATGAACAGGTCATCCTTTCCTCTTCATGTAGCTAAGGAGCATTAGCATAAGGTACCACTGAGCCCTTAACTTATTTATATGACCACAAAAAACAAAACAATGAAGGTCCACAGTGGAAAAAAAAATCTACAGAGATGACTTAAGAACAACTGAAAAATGAATACAAGGAACAAGCACAGAGAGTAGCTAAAGCGGAGGATGAGCGGACAGCTACGGATTGGTTTATAACAGGCAGCTTCTTCTTATACTACTAGCGCATGTCTGTAAAAACTAGACAGTTCTGCTGATGCTCAAATGATTTAATCTGATCAATTGCTTGTAATGTACACACTAGCACAACATGATTAGATCATTGTTTACTGTATCCATGTAAACAGAGATTTTGAACTTCTAATCCACTAATATTTAGATCTGATTTTGAACATGTTAACATAGCCCAACTGACCCCTAGTCTCTCCTACTCTACCAGTCAGGCAGGTCCGATGGTCGTTTAATCACACTGAAATCGTATGTGTTTGCATATGGTGTCACATGATTTTAATTTTTTCTGATTTTTTTCTTATTTTAAGTGAGTTTTATACCTTTCATTTTTGACTCAATAACTATATAAGTGTGAATTAAGAAATAATTTTCACTTCCTCTTTTTAATGTGTGTTATTGTCACATCAAATATTTAATTCAAGTAACCAATGCCTTTTTCATTATTGATTATTATGCACTGACACTCTGTATTACCAACAGGAGCAGGACAGTCATGGTGGTGGTTTTGACAGCAAGCAGTCTTTCGTTGGCATGATGTCTGATGTCTACATGTGGGACTACGTCCTCTCTTCCTGTGAGATTCAGAATTATGTGGATGATCGAAACTTCACACCGGGAAATGTGCTGAACTGGAGGGCACTGGATTATCAGATTATTGACAAAGTGTTCCTAGAAAATAAAATAACTGTTTGTTACTAGCTTGTTAAAACAAACATATCAACAAAAATACAATTAATATTCAGTCACTAATATTAATCTATAATGTTTTGATTATTTCTTTTTGATTGCTTTGAGTTCAAACTGAACTTTCTATTTTGCCAAATAACAGTCAATAAAAAAGTAACACACTTAAAATTATTTGCATAAGGAAAAAATGTAACTTCTTTGTGTAAACATTATTCATTTTTCATATAATTAAAGATTTGTTTTCTCTTTGTCTATTTGTGACTATGATTTATACTAATGATCTATAAATCCAATTGTTATCGTGACTCAGACTGAAGACTATCACAGTATTGCAAATAGTCTTCTTAAAGAAGTTCGGTTTTTTACACTTTAAGCCCATTTTCTGTAGTGTCCAGGATGAAATCGAATGATCGACACCAAAATTTTGACAATTGCTCCTGTCTCTGCTTTTTGGCTCATTTAGAATCAACCCCTGGCTGCTTTAGAATGGCTAGCATAGAGCATGTCCGATAATGTCCTTAAAACAACCTTAAACGTTCTTTTTTTAAAATATGCTACTCACCGTGTCGTCAGCGCTGTTCAATGACGTTCCAAAAAAAGTTTCGTGAAGAAAAAACGTTCCTGTAGTGTTTTATTTAGCATTTTGTAAATCCCATTGAGTTCTGTAGGAATAGTCAATATTCCGCTGCCACCGGAAACGGAAATGGGGCCTGCTTACACAGTTGTAGTCTTTTCGCTTCACTCTGTGTACTCCGACGTCGAGAATCAAGAATCCACCTTTCGTATTCCATTTTCAGAGTTTTTTAAAGTGTTTAACAGAGACGTTAGCACCTCGACGTCGGAGTACACAGAGTGAAGCGAAAAGACTACAACTGTGTAAACAGGCCCCATTTCCGTTTCCGGTGGCAGCGGAATATTGACTATTCCTACAGAACTCAATGGGATTTACAAAATGCTAAATAAAACACTACAGGAACGTTTTTTCTTTACGAAACTTTTTTTGGAACGTCATTGAACAGCGCTGACGACACGGTGAGTAGCATATTTTAAAAAAAGAACGTTTAAGGTTGTTTTAAGGACATTATCGGACATGCTCTATGCTAGCCATTCTAAAGCAGCCAGGGGTTGATTCTAAATGAGCCAAAAAGCAGAGACAGGAGCAATTGTCAAAATTTTGGTGTCCTTCATTCGATTTCATCCTGGACACTACAGAAAATGGGCTTAAAGTGTAAAAAACCGAACTTCTCCTTTAAGCAAAAACAGGAGTGTGTAAAGGCTTACGAAAAACTGCTTAATGATCAAACCAGCATTCCGTTTTAAATCGAGTAACCTTGAAATTTTGGAAAGCTCCTTTGGTTTTGCTTTTTAGCGACTAGGTAGAGCAAAAGCCTAGCCTTTATTTTTGAGAGTTTTAATGATTTTTCAAATTCCAGTTACTGAAACATAACTGGAAGTTTAGAATGTTGCATACAACTAATCAAAACAATTTAATTATAAAAATTGAGTTTTGTTGAAAAGGAATGTTTAAAATCAGCTCAGAATGTTTTTCTAATGTATTGCATACAATTGTTTAGATATGAGAAATAGCTTGACACTGTGGACCCCATGATAAAGTGTTTTGGGGATTGGACACAGAGGATGAGCTCTACATATGTCACTTTCTACCCACTTCTCAAAAAAGTGGAGAATTATCGTGCTTTGACATCTTGTTGTTGAAAGAGCTAATCTAGCTAAAATGTTTTAACTCTTCTCAGAGGCACCCTTGCTATGAAGAATGTTTGACAGATGGGGAAATGGTTACTGTCTCTTTCGTCTTGCAGTCTTATTCACAAGTGGCAGATTGAGTAAAGAGACAAGAAAAAATGTTAAGCTCTTGATATACCTGTCTGTCTAGGTTTAGAATTTCTCTTAATGGCCATTGGAGAAAAAACTTTATCTCCAAAGAAAACATCAGGTGGTGAGAATCGGAAGGATATTTAGGGATGCCATTCAGATCGGTATTCACTGAGGCCTGTCATACGATTTCCACCAAGAAGCAGTACAGCATTAAAGTAGAATTAGGGATCCTCTGGACCTGTAAAAACGAAGAAGCCCTCCTCCTTAGTGTAGATCATACATCCCATCCCCTTGGGGAACTCTTAAAGCCAAGAGATAGCATTTGCGTCAGACTCTACAAGCTCAGAAATCATTTAATGGAGCATAGAGTCCCTGGCAAGAATGAGTATTTACACATATTTAAATATGTTAAAAACATGACTACAAAATATATAGATTTTATTTTTATTTCATTCTGCGGTCTTCTAGCATGTAAGTGTGATGGACGCTGGATGTGCACATTTAATAAAAAAGATCAGCTGTTTTGGTACATGCTACTCTACAATCCAAGTTTAACTCACTATGAAGTCAGTTGTAGGATGAAAATATTTATGCATTTGAGAGAGGCATTTGGATAAATACCCTATCTTTAATAAAAATATCAGTATCCTTTTAAAAAACAGCACTGCACATGTCCTTATTAGGTGCATCAAAGAGCGCTACGGATGCATAAAAGAATGATCCAACAGGAAGAATATTTGGCCAACCAAATTATTTATTATTCATCATCATGCAGCACAATATACCCTGTGACTTTTTCCCCCTCTGATTAGACAGGCTAGCTCTGATCAGACAAGAAAGAATATCCCGGATTCTGAAATACAAATCTTAATACTTTTTTTTTCTATTTTGCTGGGCAGCAAGCCCACCATTTTATATCTGTGGAAACTTTTTGCTCTAGGTGTCTTGTGGTCAAGTGTGCAAATGATTCTCATGAATTAATTAAGTGATTTTAAACATTCTTATATTTACATTACTTAAGATATAATATTTGTGATGTTTACAAACAACTGAAGGCATATTACGGGGAGTGGTGGCATAGTGGTAAGGGTTTTGCACTTGGATACCAGAGGATTCCCAAGGGGTTCTGAGTCCCAAGCCCCACTCCAACGGGCTGCCACTCTGGGTCCCTGAGCAAAGATCCTGAACCCCCACACTCCTCCCTGGCCACCGCACAATGGCAGCCAACTGCTCCCAAAAGGGATGGGTTAAATGCAGAGGTGAATTTCCGTTGCTTTGTAGTTGTGACAATGCAATGAAAATAAAGTTGAATTGTATTCTTCTACTCTGCATGTATTAGGCTATTTACGTATTAACTGCCACTATAACAGCAATTTCTATATTGATAGAAAGTATATGTTTCTAAGCTGCTGTTGAATGATCTTTACTGGATTCCTGTATCCCTGGATCTGTCTGTTCCTGTTTGGATCTGAACCCCTGGCCAGGTTGCAGACCCCTGGATCTCATAACCGTCCTGTTCTGACCTGTTTGTCTGCCCTGGCTCTGACTCCAGCCTGTTCACTGGGGATGCTGCATCGGTGACAATCTGGTCGGCTCCAGCCGCATAGGCAGTTTATCGGCTGGATTCTGCCTCGCTTTGACAAGATGGACTGAACTGTTAAACCAGGTAAGTGACTCACATGGATAATCATCTTCCATCATATTATTGTGGTCAATTACCTGTGTTTCTCCCTCAACTAGAATGTCAGTGATGGGTGCCCCCCCCCACACCCCCACCACCCCCCACAAACACACCCACACACACAGTTGCCGCAGATCTGAAGGTCCTTGGCTCCGCATTTTCTGTCCAGTTCTGTTAATAAACGTTTTGAACTTCCCCACTGCTTGTCTTGCCAGAATACTGGAACCCATGCTCTAAGCTCCTGACAGGTTTGATTGTTTGGTCTGCAGCAAACATTTCCTTTCTGTTAAGTTTGTTTGGCATTCAAATTGTACTTCTTGGCATCTCATAATGACCATCTGAAAAACTGGGTCTCGGTCTGGTTATTTCATCCAGTGCAGATTTCATTTGGGTATATTTACACCTGCACTAAGATCCAAGATGAGAAAGAAACTCTTGTTTGTTTAAAGCAGAATCAGATGTGCCAAGTGAGAATAAACCCACAATAAACAAGCTAGAAATGTTGCAAGTTCTGATGTGATCAAAAAAGGTAAAGAATCCATAACCAATGTATCTTTTTTTTCTTCTCTTTGCAAGCTTTAATTGAGTAAGGTATTTGTAAGAAAATAATATCATACAAAAATGGTGTCTAAACTAATTCATCAGGATTGAAATCTTGGATTTGATTATTGGGAAAACACAAACAATAATTATTTAAATCAAGCTACAGATCCTTTGTTATGCATTATTTAAAATGGATCATTAATTTTAACAATTCTTTTCTAGCTCAAGCATGTTGTACAACAATTTGATAGTTTACAAACAAACCATTGCTCTGTTCTCTAGCAGAACTTGTCCTATTATCTGGTAATCCATAGCCCTCCAGTTTAGAACATTACCCGGAGTAAAGCTTCTGTAATCCATGTAATTTTGAATCTCACAGGTAGAGAGGACATAGTCCCACATATGGACATCATACATCATTCCAACAAAAGACTGCTTGATGTCGAACCCACCACCATGACTGTCCTGTTCCTGTTAGCAGAGATTTCAGAGTTTTAATAGACAGTAAACAACAACAATAAAGAAGAACTGACTAATATAAAATATGTTTATTTTTACAGCTTGGTATTATTAAGACTTTATTAAATAGGGAGGATGATTGAAACTTTACCTGTCCTAACATGATTATAAGAGACCCCCTGATATTTGACACGGAGCGGGTAAATTTCTTAACTGAAGGTTGTCCGTCCAACCACGGCTGCACCAGCCCAGACACAGGGTCCCATGTGGTGCAGAGAGAGTGCCATGTGTTTCGCTTGTAGTCTTCTACTCCAAATAGTCCTGTTGTATCCATGGTAGAAATTTCAAATTCCTTGTCAGTGCCATCCCAGTAAACCAAAAAGGCATTGGAATAAGTGGGCGTGGCCAAAGAAAAATGGACGTGGCCTCTAATGAGGTCTGTGAAGCATCTGAAGAAATGACAGTTAACATGTGCATTACTCAATAGTATTTCACAAACATAAATGCAAAATTTTCCTATGTGGAATTGTGCAAAAGGATCAACATCTCCTCTTTTCTTGTTTCTAAGTTTGCTTCCAACTTTTTATTAATGATTCATTTTAATAATACATCTATTTTTTCCACCTGTCACAAAGAATACACTTTTTTAAATAATTTCTCTACTTTAATCATGTAAAATTATCACAGATAATATTTGGCATTTAGCGGATGATCACATGAAGGATGCTGTG